ACTTATCCAATGGTTGTGAACATTTAAAACTAACACGAGTCTCTATAAGTGTCCAGTTTTAAGGTCTTACACAGAATTGTACCAAACAACATGAATCAAACATGCACTTTATTTATTTTCACTAAATAACAAAAGTACATCAAATCAGATTGAAGCTAAGGGCATACAAAACTGTCTAACAGACCTAACTGACAGAGAACATACAATCTCATCCCTGCTCCCCTCCCCCCAAAGGGTTTGAGAAAAAAGGAAAGGAAAAACAAGTCATCTTTGATCTACTTTTAACTGGACATAAAATTACTTTTATAGATTATATGTTTTGACTAAATCTAAGTTAATAACATCACTGCCGGAATATGGGCATCCATCCAGAAGAACACAATATGCACCTAAATGCCTACAAATTGAAGTCATGACTCATGATAGTGATGAGAACCCTGAAAAAAACTATTGCATCCTCCATTCATCTTCACTCCCTCAGTGACATTATCTATATATAAGTATTTATGAATGTTTATGCCTGGTTTGTGTCGTACATTGTATAGAAGCTACAGTAGTTCTTTTGTTTTTGCTAGCTGAAGCTATGGTAATTCACGAGGACCATCAAATGATTGGGTCTTCCTCAAATTCCAGTGGAGACCCTCTTGTATACTGCGCAAGAAGTCATGGGTGGAATCAACCAGGCATGCCGTTGGCACAGGCCAAGGTGCCATGCTGCACACAAGTGCATCCCCAGCTCCCAACTGTTTCCTGTCCTTGCCATCAAATGATGCCCAGGCATGTCCCCTACTGTTGAAAGGTATTTGTACTCGCAGAGTTACATATTCTGGTAGTATCAGAGGCCTAAATGATAACGAGTGTGGACAGATTGGGGTAAAGAGGATGCCTGGAACCTGCAATGTAATGAAATTAGAAGGCTAATTGAGATGGCTAAATGACAATTACAGATACAAGTATAGAAGGGAAATACCCAGGCAGACCAAACCAAAACTTTTAGTTAGCAAAATACCTGAACTGAATTAACTAGTTAACTAGTTTACCGGTTTAGTTGATTGGTTTTTCTTTTCAGTTTTTTTTATTGTAATTTTAATGCAAGCAACAAATTTTTCTTCTTTCCATAAATTAAAGAAAACAAAAAAGTAATATTTCATCACCAATAAAACAAAGATCTGCAATAACATTTCAACAATATTTATCTAAATAAAAA